ATAAATATCCCATAAATGCAAGAGTTATAAATAATGGAATATTCCCCTTTGAAATTAAACTAACTTGAGGGACTAATATCATTAGTGAAAACCAATTTGAGGGACTAATGTCATATTACTCAGATTTGAGGGACCACTATCAAAATAGCTCAGATTTAAGGGACTAATGTCTAAAAAACGTGAAGGGGGTGTTAGTCAATCAGGATATTTTTATGCAAAGTGAGATAATTGTTAAAGTAAAATATTTTTTTACTAGTGGGATATTTTAGTGTGGTAAATATGAATAATTTTGTAAAGTGGGATATTTTGATAAAATAATGTGGGGTAAATTTTTTATAATCATGAAGTATACATTTATGCATTTTGATGATATAAATATTATTTATGTATTTTTAAACTTATTATTATTGATTGATAATTGTTTATGAGAATGTTATTCACTATTAAATAACTTTTGGTTAGACTATAAGATCTTGACAGTTATTATAATATATATTGTAGCTTTTTTATTTTTTAATTATTATCATAGTACATGTCTTAAAAAAGGTTTTTCACATTTTCCTTCCTTTTTTGCTCCCTGATTCCCTCATCTCTCAATTTTGTTATTTAATAAATCATAGATTGATACAATATTTACTTTTAAATTAATTATATACTTATAATATATGATAAAAAAGAAAATGTCATAGATGACTAAGAGGAGATGAGATCTGATTTGAGGCAAGGTCTGGTGATAGTGATGACCATAGTAGGAAAGAAGTAAAGAGAAAAAAAAAATAATAATAAAATCAATAGGAGTTCTACTTTTTTACCACCTAGCTCCAAGCAAACTTGGGATAATTGGAGAAACTAGAACTCTCATTTTTTTTATACAAAACAAAAAAGGATAATTTTGTACAATTATCCCAATTCTAGTTTTGTTAGAGTTCTAGTTGATTAACAGCGTAAAATTTTCTTCTAGTTTTAGTTCAGGTTGACTAACACTATAAAATTTTATCAGCTAAACTGGTAAATTCATATTTAAAAAAGAAGCATTTTACCATTTTGGTATTTAGAAAATCTCCGATGACGTTTAGGTATTTAAATTGAGTTTAATTTAGCATATAGGTTCAAGAGGTCATCGAAATTAATTTTTCAGGCATGCAAATTTTTTCCCACCCCCTGGGCTCCTGAAGTTTGTAATTTAGACCATTCTTCACCTTCTTCTTCCTATATTCAAATTTCTTTTAGCCATTCCTCGTCACCTCTCATCAATGAGGGCACTCGCTGGTGAAAATGTTGTTGCTGCTGTTGCAAGAAGAAAAAGAAAAGAGAAAGAAGAAAAAGAAATACAGAAGAGGATGACCATCCCATCCCTCCTTTAATCTTGATGCCGACAGTGAACATGTAGTAGATGAGACCGAGATTGGCGATGATTTCGAGGATGAGAACGCATCGGAGGGGGAAGATGATGTGGCCGAAGTTTGGGATTTTGCCCATTACTGATGGACCTAATAGTATGCCTCTTTGAAAATTAGAGGATGTTGCTATCTTGGACATGAAATCCTAGTTCAGTGTTTTCTCACTATCTCATAATACTTAGTTAAAAGTATAGTGTAATTGGAAATGAATTTGGGTCACTCTCTACTAATTTTTATAACTGCTATTGATGAGATGAAAGGTTGAAGTGCTAACTATTGATGAGATGAGAGTTTGAAGGATGCGGCTCCATTGATTAGAGAGAGAGGTTAAAGGAGAGATGGCTAAAAGAAATTTAAATTTGGGAAGAAGAAGGTGAAGAATGGTGTAAAGTACAAACTTTAAGAGGCTAATATGGGAAGAAATTATTTAGCCAGAAAAATTAACACCGATGATATTTTAAACCTATGTGTTGACTTAAACCCATTTTAAATGTTTAAATATCATTAAAAATATTTTAAATATCAATTCGATAAAATGAGTATGTTTTAAATACCAATTTAATAGTTTAGCTATATTTTATCCTATAAATTATGCTGTTTTGGGCTCAATTTGAATGACCACCGAAAGGAAAACAAGTTACCCAAAATTCGAGCGAAACCCTTGTTCCCCTTCCAAACCAGAGAAGATAATAGAAGTCCCAGCGCAGCGTGCACCTCTTCAAATGGAAGACGACGACGATTCCCCTCCCCTCGCCGTTCCCATCCCCAAGCCGCTGGAAACTTTCAATGATTCCCACAATCCCACCGGAAGCCACGCCCAATCCCCCGTCGGCGTCACCGTCATCACCGGCTACCTCGGCGCCGGCAAGTCCACGGTCATCTCTCTCACCCCTGTAGCTACGAATCCATCATAGCTAGGGTTAGGGTTCTGATTCTACTTCGATTTTATTTTTTTTGAACAGCTGATAAATTACATACTGAATGGGAAGCATGGGAAGAAGATAGCTGTGATATTGAATGAGTTTGGGGAGGAGATCGGAGTGGAGAGGGCGATGATCAACGAGGGAGAAGGTGGAGCTACGGTCGAGGAGTGGGTGGAGCTCGCTAATGGATGTGTTTGTTGTACTGTTAAGCACAGTCTTGTTCAGGCACTGGAGCAGCTTGTACAGAGGAAAGAGAGGTTGGGCCCTTCTGATTTTCTCGTGCTTTTTGTTCTTTGCTTGGGTGTTGTCAATGAATTCAAAGTTGGAGTCTTTTCCTGCCTCAAAATTGAGCTTATTATTAGTGAAGGAATCCAAGTAGAAAATTACATGTCTAGCTGTTTTATAACTGAGTATTGGAAGTTTGATATATGACTGATCTCAATTAATTGAGTTTTTTCAGTTTATTTCATGCTATTTTTCTTAGCATTTATTGATTGTATTTTACTCTTAATACATTTAAAAAAAACCACACTTCTAGTTTTCGTTTTAGTTTTCTTTAGAATGACTAGTAAACTTGTGCTAAGTGAATTAGCTAAAATTGAAAAGGTTAATGGTAGCAATTACAATACACGACACAAAAAATTGAATATGGCCTTATACATAACAATATTGATGATGTAATCGAAACTGCTGCTCCTTAACTAAAAATCTAGAAGCCTCTCCTGCTGAGTTAAAGAACGGGTTTCAAGTAGTGGGAATCAAAAGATAAAAAGGCAAAAATCCTTATGCTCATATTCATGAAAGACAATTTGATTAAAGTTTTTTTTAAAACTTCCATTGACATGTGGCAATCAATTAAAGAAAAATACGACACTACTTTGAAGTTAATATTTAACTACTCTTGCATGAGTACAGTTCATGGCGTATGTAAGGGGCACCGCTGAAAAAAGTGGCACATAGTGCCGCTATAGTGGTAGCAGCACTGTCTTGCTAGGCTATAAGCAATAGCGGCTAACTTTAGCTGAGTTTTGTGCAATTTGCTGGCAATAGCGGCAAATAACACTATTTAGCACTAAAAAGTGCTATTAAGCGCTATTAACTTTTTAAATGGGTACAGTGCTTTGTACATGAACCCTATCCTTCAAAATAATTCCTACTTCGTCTCTCTCTTTCTCCCCCTTTCGATTCCAACCAAAATATGAAGAAAGGAAAAAGAATCCTAGATCATTGATTCTCCACCTCTTCCACTTCCTCCACAGTCCACCCACGTGCGACCCTCCTCAACCTCGGCCGCAGTCAGTACAACACCTCAATTTACTCTCTTTCTTCCCAACTCCTACCTTTCCCTCTCTGACTACACCCCATCAATTTAGCTCTCTTTGCTGCTACACCTATTTCTTCCTCTCCGACTGCCTCTCCTGCTTGTCTGTTGCCTTCTCCAACTCGTAGCTCACCAAGTTACTTATCAATCTTCAAAGCTCCACCAGTCCTCTTCATTTTTTATGTCAAGTTTCGAATAGTTAAAACTTAACTATATTGCTACTAATCAATGCCTCTCTATTGTTGATAATATTTATATTAGAGGAACTTGAAAGTTAATAATAATAATAACGCAATATGGTACACTACCTCCTATTAGGGGTTAAAGAAACAAACGCAAAAAAGTAAAGTGTAACATAGGTTATTTTGTTTATTAATTATTTATATATTTTATAAATACAAACTATTCATAATGAATTTAATTAAAGGCAAATGACACAACCTACAGGCTACATGCATGGATGATTACTATTTATACTCATGTGAACCATCTTGTTTCTCGATAGATATGAATATAAAAGAACAAGATTTCTTAATCTTCTATGATGCTATGAAATCACATGACTCAAATTTATGGCTAGAAGCCGTGAGCGAAGAACTTGATTTTACAGGAAAGGATAAGGTTTGGAATTTATGTGATCTACCGAAGAACATGAAAGCTATAGAATACAAATAAGTTCTTAAAAAAAATATCGTGTTGATCTAGTGGTACATTCAAAGCACTGTTAGTTGCCAATGTTACAATTAAACTTACAAGAGACATATTCTCCAGTAGCTAAATTTACATCCATAATAATTATTTTAGCTATTGTTGCATATATGAAGTTGGAGTTATTTCAAATGGATGTTAAAATAACATTCCTTAACAGAGAGTTGAAGAAAGTGATACATATATGCAATAGCCTGAGGATTTTCAAGTGAAAGGGCATGAATATAAATTTTATAAATTAGCGAAATATCTATATGGTTTACGACAATCATCTAGACAGTGATATCTTGAGTTTTATGTAGTTGCTCGTGCTAGAGGAAGAAGACATGGTTCTTTCCGCTTGAACTTGAAAAAGATAGTTGATCTAGGGAAGCATGTCGATAGAGACTCAATTCTTGCTCTTTGGACCGAGCACACGAAGCTATTGAGACGATGTTTGATGTTTGATTTGGTTTGAAGGGAGTTTTGGTTGAAGAAGCTAAATTTCCCGAGGGTGTGATGTGAATCCAATGGAGAGAGGAAATGCTTCAATGTAGAAGCTAAATTTAGTCGATGATATGAACCCTTTAGAGTTTAGACAAATGAAACTCTAATGAGGGAGTTGATGGTTTAAGCAAAAGCCAAGCTCCAATGAACGAAGCTAATGGGAGGTAAGAGCCAAACTTCAACTAATGGAGCTAAAGCAAGGGCAAGGCTTGCTGAAATTTTGGCTAACTAGAGGAGCCAAGATCCAAAAATAAGAGCAGTCACCAAGAGCCAAAAGAATAGAGATCATTTCACAATGGTGAAAGGTCTCTAGTTATAGGCTGAAAACCCTTCATGATGTGGAGCTAAGTTGACGCAACTAGGCATCATACGAGCCTAGTTGTGGCGCGTGGTAGTGTACTTTGTACGGTGATCATAGCAGTACAATGTTTTTATAGAATTGTAGTTCATGCGAGGCTAGATTGTTGCTTTTCAGCCTTGCGTAGACAAACTTGGCGCTTTTAAACTTCACATCACTAAATTGTGATAATTTTATCCTCAATCAATTGTAAACTCATTTGGCCGTTGCTGAGTCTTTTGGTCATGTTAATTCACCATTTTACTCCTGGTGGGTAAGTAGCACTCAGCTGATCTACTAATGATTGGTCATTTTACTCTTGGTGGGTATGTAGCACTGAGTAGTCACCAAATTTGGATTTATCTAGAATAAATTAGATAATTATGTGTATGTCGTGAAAAGTGGGAGCAAATTCACTATATTATCATTGTATGTGAATGACATATTACTTGCTGGATATCATATGAAAATGTTAAAAAAGCCAAGTCAGATTTTAGTGAAAAGTTTAAGATGAAAGATATGTGAGATGTATCATGTACTCTTGAAATTCAAATAATCTGAGATAGAAAGTCTAAAATGTTAAGTTTAAACCAAGAAAAATATTAAGATTAGTTATTAAAAGGTTTGGAGGGTGAGCCTTGGTACAACGGTTATGTTGTTGACTTGTGACCTGGAGGTAATGGGCTCAAATTCTGGAAACAGGCTCTTCACATGCGGGGGTAAGGCTGTGTACATCTGACCCTTCGCAGAGCCCACAATGATGGGAGCCTCGTGCACTGGGTTACCCTTTTAGTTGTTAAAAGGTTTGGAATGGAGAATTTCAATTCAGCACCAATATCGTTGGTCATATAAAATTGATTGTGTAAAGAGTAAAACTCTAGAGAGAGGCAGAAGACGTCATGCTCAAGCAGTCGAAAACTTGATGTATGTCATGTTGTGTACTAGACCTGATTTAGCTTATGTTATAGCTCTAATTAGTCAACAACAAGGTAATTTGAGTCTAGCATATTGGAAACTGCTAAAATGATTATGAAGTATATCAGAGGTACATTGTCTCATGGATTGGTTTATCAAGCTAGTTCACTTGATGCCCTTGGTCAGATGGTGTTTTCGGAGATTGATAAAGATGACGGAAAGTCCATTTCGAGACACTTGTCCATGCTAGGAGGAGTTGCTTTTTGGAGTAGTACGTACACTGGTGTGTTGCAAGATACGCAGGGGAAGTAGAATATGTAGCTTGCAACATGGCTACTACACTTACTGTCAAGATAAGACGGATTTTGATTGATCTAGATCTCAATTTGGTAGAAAGACCTATTAATATTTACTGTGATAATTAGATGACAATTAAATGAACACTGGTGCAAATAGTTCCAAAAGGAAGCACATTTAGATCCAATATCCTTCATTCAAGATATTTTAGATGTGAGAGAAGTGAAATATATCCCTCATGCTGATACTGTTGATCCCTTGACAAAGGGAATCCGAGCAAAAACTTTTTATCGAACATGTGAGTTTGATGACACTTAGTAATCATAAATGAAGTTAATTTCATAACTAAGAAAATAAGAAATACTCACTACAAATAGTAGGAATAAGAAGGGAACATCAGTTATCATGGGTAGTGAGGGACATTATTTGGTTAATTTGATCAAGTGGGAGATATAGGGTTGACCAAGTCAACCATCTATATTTAAAATATGAGAATAATGGGCAATAAGTGGACTGTTAGTGAAGATTTAATAGGCTCATTATGACAGTTAGATTAGGGTTGCTAAATGGCTTTTAATTTGAATTAATGGAAATTAATTGATATTTTGGATGTGAAGATGATTGAGAGAAGAGCCAATAAATAGAGTGCTTTTCTTTGTAAAAGCACACAACAATTGAGATAAAAATCCTCTATATTGGAGCCCCCAAAAGCTCATACTCTCTCCCATGATTATAATATAAGTACCAGAGTTAGTTATTTAACCTAACGTCCTCCACTTTCATCTCTATTCCAAGGCCCTCTTTCATAGCCCTAGGTCATGTGTCTGCTTCTTTTATTCCCAAAATTTGAGCTTTATCTTGTTTGTACTATCACGCTTAGTCAAAAGAGCCTACATGCTTCCAACTAGAACTAGAATAATTTTTCTTCAACCAGAGCGTCAATTTACCTAATTCATCTCCGATCACAATAAACCCGCTCTTGATCTCTGTACTTCGCTCTCTTCATTGAGATTATCATCTAAGAACTGATCTAACACTGCTCAAAATCCAATCGTTGTTTCCCCCGTAATCAACGCTGCATCTTTGATGATCAATATTGTCTCTCTTCTCACCGACGAATGCTATTGCTGCAACCTCAATCAAGCCAATCTTCATTGAGATTATCATCCAAGAGCTGATCCGACGCTGCTCAA